CCCCAAAACCCCAAAACCCCAAAACCCCAAAACCCCTTTTAAGGATTTTTTAATTGGAATAATATAATAAGCAAAATGTTTGATTATTTCTGTATATTCACTACAAGTGGGGTTGTTCTTTGGTACAAAGCTTTTGTAGAGATGAAGTTCGATCTCATAAATCAGCTTATTAAAGACATAATGATTGAAGAGAAGACTGCTAAGAACCAGTTCATTTATAAAGGCAGTATCATAAAATGGAAGGTGGCTAACGAGCTCAATCTGATATTCACTGTCGTTTACAAAGAAGTATTACACCTTTCTTATGTAGATGATCTTTTAGACTTGATCAAGTCTGAATTCTCTAAGAAGATTTACCCAACTTTGGACTTAGATTCAGGAATTTTCCAGATGTTACCTTCTCATTTTGATAAAAATTTCAAGCAAATCCAGGCAAAATGGGAGGCTAAAACCCAAGATAAGAAAGGACCAAAAAAGATGAAAACTTTCAATGAATCTAAGAAAAAGAAGAAGGCGACTCAGCTCTTAGATGACGATATCGAAGAAGATGAAAAAGAGGAAGACAACGAGACAAAGGATGAATCACAGATGACCAAAGCTGAACTAGCTAGGAAGAAACTCGAGGAGAGATTCAGCAAGAAGAAGCCTAAGAAGGGACCCAAGACTCCTAAATCAAGCGACACTAAGCCTAAAGGAAAGGAAGGCAGAAGTTGGGGCTATAAGGATTCTATCACTCAGGATGACCTAGCTGCTATCGACAGGTAAACTTTTCATCTAAACAGCTGTTTAACTATTTAGATCCAAGACCTTCAACGACGATGATGAAGAAGAGAAGATCCCACATGGTGCCTCCAAGTACCTTGATGAGGATGACGGAGATATGGATGACTACTGGAGCTCTGATGAAGAAGACAAAGAAGTTGAAAACAAGGGAGGCCTTTTCTCCCGATTCACTAATACACTGAAGACATTCACTGGGAACAAAGAGCTTACTGAAGAAGACCTCGACCCTATCATGGAAGAGTTCAGTAACGGACTCATGGAGAAGAATGTTGCTCAAGACATTGCTGTATCCTTATGTGAGAGCATCAAGAAGTCTTTAATGAAGACCAAGACAGAGTCTTTCACAACTGTGAAAACAACTGTTAAGAATGCCTTGATCGAATCCCTGAAGAAAATTCTAACTCCAAAGAGGAAAATTGATGTATTGAAGGATGCCCTAGCAGCTAAGAAGAGAGGAGAACCATATAAGATAGTGTTCATAGGAGTAAATGGAGTTGGAAAATCAACCACTCTCTCAAAGGTCGGATACTTCTTGCAGAAAAAGGGAGGCCTCAATCTTCTCCTTGCAGCTTGTGATAACTTCAGAGCTGGAGCTGTAGAACAACTTAAGGTTCATGCTAGAAACCTTCAAGTTCCTATCCATGATAAAGGATATAAGGGAGATCCTGCATTCATTGCTCAGGAAGCGATTACTAAGGCAAAGAAGGCTGGTCATGATGTAGTACTCATTGATACTGCTGGAAGAATGCAGGACAACGAGCCCTTGATGAGAGCCTTAGCCAAACTTGTCCACGTAAATAAGCCAGACTTAGTTCTGTTCGTGGGAGAAGCACTAGTAGGAAATGATGCTACAGACCAGTTGACAAAGTTCAATCAAGCTTTGATCGACTACTCCTACCAAGGGAGTGACCCCAGAACAATCGATGGAATTATTCTATCCAAATGTGATACTGTCGATGACAAGATTGGGGCTTCCATCTCAATGGTTTACAGTACTGGAAAACCCATTGTCTTTATGGGAATTGGGGAGAAGTACAAGAACCTAAAGAAGATGAATATTAACACTGTGATTAACGCATTGCTTTCTTAGGCTAGAGTTACCAGCTGTTTATTGATCCAATATTTACCAGAAATTGAGGGGTTTTGGGGTTTTGGGGTTTTGGGGTTTTGGGG